GCGGCCACGCCCAGTTGGCCGGTGGGGTACCCGGAACAGCCACGGACCGGCCTGACGCGCCGGCCTGCCCGGCGCACGACGCAGCCACCAGCAACGAGCCTATATCACGATGAGACAGTAATCAGTATACGATAAAGCGAGCCAGTATGTACTGGTGCACAGCTAGCTATGGATGGGCGAAATGGAGTAAAATGTTATGTAGGGCCCCGCACAAAGCGTTTAATTCTCTTTATTTACCGAATATCAACATCCCGCAGATCATGCAGGCGATTTTCATGCCGCATCAGAAGCTGAACCATTTAAAGCTCACAATAAAGTCCGCACAGTCATTTATCTTCGGCTATTGTTTACGTATTTAAAATATGAAGATTACGAACCGTAGCCTCATACTAAAGTGAATATATTGCCGAATATAATCCAATCAAGTGAAACGACGGTTGGTTTTTTAATGTTTATTTATTGTTTATTTAATGATTGCATGAGTCACTGACACAACTTCAGTCAACAAAAGTAAAGAATCATCGATTTTTGGTGTTATGTGGCAATTAAAATCGTGTCAGATGTGGTGCAATTTTATATAAAGTAATTGACGAACCGCTCGCGTTCTATGAAGCAGGTCAAAATGTTCATTTGCACAAGTGTTCAGATTTCTTTGCACTAAGATCATGTGAGATTTAGTGCAGTGAGCCAGTTTTTCACGGCGGGTGTCATGTGGTGGGGATCGGGATATTTCCCGTCAGCCTCGCTCCAGTGGGCCCGTCGTTTTTCTCTGTTCCTGCTCCCCGCCAACGGGGTCACGTGACGGGTGTGGTCGCCCATGGGCTATACCTGCACTGACAACCTGCATCTAGCCTGATCAGCTCGGACAACGGTACGGACCACTGTGGCCAATGTCAGACTATGAGCATATGCTTTGACACCGTTTAAAGCGGCGACCAGAATGTGTCACATAGCATCTTGGGTATTAACCCAAGTAAGTACCTTATGGGCATGTCAATTCGTCAATATTTTCATAACGATACATATAGCATGAAGTCAGAGTTCCACCCAGTGTTTATGCTGCATGAAATGCAGAGAAAATAGATGAACCGGTAACAAAGCGTTGTGTGCTGGTGGTCAGAAATGTAACAGCGTGAATGCAGAGTAGATGAGACAAAATGGAAAATATTACCCTTTTGGCCTATAGATGTGAAATACATTTGTAGCACAACCACGTTTCCCTCAGCTTCGCATCAGCGCTCGGTAAGCAGCATATAATTCGTCTCCACTATCGGAATAGAGTGATGTGTGACATTAGGCTATGTTGTTCTCATCGTCCGCAAGTCCTTATTACATATTATCATCTGCAATCTGCATCCTACAGTCCATAAAATGTGTCATTATCTTTCATCTCTGTTCGGGAGGGGAGCGATAATGGGTTAGCTGTACTTACATACATAGGTCAAGGTTGATGGTTATACTCGCATTATGGTAGGGAGCAGCAGCGACCAATTAGGATCCCTTTGCAATGATTGCTCGTGTACTTAGTCTGTTGAATAGTGTAGGCAGGCCTGTATGTGCACTCACAGCTGTAGTTAGTGGTTACTTTCGGAAGCAATTCAAATAAACGATTATTTCATACCACGAAATTTGCAGGAAATATTGTTTTGAAACAAGCTTATTGATAGTGCTACGTTTCAACATATCATTTCATTAAGAGCATTCAGATATTTTAATTTGACAAACAAAGTACTAACTATTTAAACCTGAGAGTCATGTTTTATCCCTTGTTTCATTTGCTGTCATTGGTTTCGGCTTCCGTGCAGACTGCTCCATGCAGCAGAAATTCAAACGTTTATGTGACTAGGGAATCCTTATCATACCAACTAGCCCATGGTCCTTCATACCATCTTCCCACGCTGACAGCTTCTGTCCGTTATTACTGTTTGACCTCTGTTGGGACGGTCTCACTGTTCCAGCGCCTCCAGTAAAAATTCTTAACTGGAGGCTTTATCAGAGGTTTCACTGGAGCCGCTGGAACGCAATCTGGAGATTTCTAGAGATTGGCGTCACAGATACCAAAAGAATGACGATTATTCTCTCTTGAAACGCAAAATTTGTTTTACATTTTAGCAAGAAAGGTTAACAAAATTATAGCAATGCTATTTTCTTTACATTCAAGTTATAAAATTATCAGTCAAAAGTTCTTTGTTTACATTCGTGATTGTCACATGTGCGCCATAATTGTAGACCAGAGCCTCCAGAGAAATTTGGACTTCCCAACTCTCTGGAGGCTACTGGAGGTTTCTGGAGCTTTGGCGAGAGCTTTCTGGAGCTTTCTGGAGGCGCTGGAACGCTCTCTGGAGGATTCTAGAGCTTTCTGGAGCTTTCTAGAGGTTTCTGGAGGCGCTGGAACAGGCCCATAGTCTCACCCCTCTCCGGTCCGTTCTCCACCGCCCAGATCCCGTTTCGGTCCGGGTTAGCTCCCGGCAGCGTGACACTGCCCCCGCAGAAAGATCCCCGCCCCGCCGGGCCGGGGCCGGGCGGGGTGGGCCGGCAGACGAATGGTCACATCCGGGACGGGCCAGAAGAGGGCTGCGATGGGGCGGCGGTTGCCACCGCCGCCGGCACAGGCGGGTCCTGGAGCCGACCTTGGCGCGAGCCGCCGCGGATGCCGCCTGACCTTGGCGGTGACGGCCCCGGGCAGCGGCCCCTCCCCTCCCCACTCACCCCCGTGGTCATCCGTGCCCGTGACGTCGGCAGATCGTGATCCGACCCCCGCAGAACGTGACCCGACCCCGGCAAAACGTGCTCTTGAAATGTTTCTGGATGTCCTCCTCAATGACCGGTGGTTTGGGAGGCGCAGGGTGCTTTTGCGCCAGCCCTGAGCTCCAAATTAGCCGTGTTGGGGCATCTGGCAAATACATCAAGCTTGACCAAATCTAAGGCAAATCAATTTACAGCAAATATACTCAGGTCATGAGTTTATTTCAATGATTTAATCGAAAATGTTGGCTGGTAATTTGATAAATAAGGATGATGCATGCAGCCTATATAAGGCTACCGAGAATAAACTATGAATCTGAATTCTAATATGTCAAGATCGCACCAAATGTGCCAAAATGTGTGCCATATAATCGTCCTGAAAACGGGCATCATCGTGCAACAATGTCCGAATAAGCTTGAGCGTACCATTCCATTACCTAATGCTTTCTTTCTGCATGATATGGAACAGAAGCAAATTATTATTATTTTAAGATACCCAAATCGTCACGCTAGACTAGGTGATAAGACCAGAAAAAAAACTCGGAAGAAGAACGACTGAGATCAATCAGGAGCCCTGCACTTGTGAACGTGCAAAGTGTGATATTCAAACTAATTAAGTCGGGGCACCCATCTTGTCGGCAGCGTTGGTGATAAAGCATGCTTACGTTTGGCGCATTCCACCCAACCGCACTTGAGACGTAAAATTGACCATTGACCATTGTAAAATTGACCATTGACCAGTGCGCACGTGAAAAGTGAGCCCTCTCAACTAGATTTTGTGGTTTCCCCTTCAATCTGTGAGCAATAAAATAATCTTCAATCGTTCTCCCGGTGTGTATCCTTGTTAGTGTTTGAAAATCTTCTCGGCTCATGCGGCATAGGTACAAGCCAACATTGATTAATGTTGCTTCCTTCCATTACCTAAATGTGTTTAACTTTTACCTGAATTAGCGTCTTCCTATTTTAACCCGCGCCCGGCTGGGGGTCCTGGATTTCCACGCCCTGCTGGGGGGGGGGGGGTGTTTGAACACCCCCCCTTGTAACTCGGCTCCTGGGCCACGTAGCGATACGCGGAAGGCGGCGTTCGAAAGAGCGTCAAAAATAATGACGAAATCACTTCGGTCAATTTTTTGGTCAGGTCAAAGGTCAGGTCACCAGAGGTCATTGAAGGCAAAATTTCGCCGATTTCCAGGTCGAATGTCGAAAATTTCCAAGAAGCCAACGCATAACTCGGGAACCAATAGAGCTACAGCGCCGCGGAAAAGCGCATTCGATAGCCCTATTAACGCCCTTTCTGAGTAATTCTCTCAGATTTGACCTAACGTCAACGGTTTTGCCTGCAGGGGGCAAAAACTGCAAAAATAGCCGATTTTTTCGGAAACAGTTTTTCGGCAATAACTTTTGACCCAAGCCTTGTACGAGCTTACTTTTACCGGCATCGTGTTCCTCTCGTCAAGACGCATCGAATGAACTATAACTTGACCTTGAAAGGTCAACTTGAAAATTTGACCTCAGGTCAAGGTCATGACCTGACCGGAAAGGGTCATGTTGCATATCAGTCGATCCGTATCGTCGAGCTGAACACATCTAAGGCGTTTTCATTGCTCTAGCATGCCTCTATCAAAAGTTATTTGCGAAAAACTGTTAGATACCATTCGTGACCTAAGATGACCTCAGGGCATAAACAGGGGTCACGGACACCATTTTCATGTTCAGTGTGTCTAAACCACTTGTAATTCAGTGTTTGGGAGTGTTTATAATGTCTTCCGTCCAAAAGAGGCGCATTTCAATTTTCTCCCATTGACTTATAATGGGGAGGTCGCAAAATTGACCTGACCTTAGGTCACCGATATCAAAATTCCGAGATATACATTTTATAGATACTGTTACCCTTATCAATCGCTGAAAGTTTCAAAGCGATCGGTCACTCGGTGTAGCTATGACAGACATTGAAACTTTTTATGAGGTGAGGTCACTTCAAGTGACCTGGTGACCTGACCTTGAATGACCTTGGTCTGAAATTTTCACAACATGTGTAGAATTGATGTATGATAAGGTGTACCAAAAACGGCGGCGCTCCGCGCCGCCGTTTTTGAGATATTCGCGAAAAACCACAAGGGGGGGTGTTCAAACACCCCCCCCAGCAGGGCGCGGGTTAATCGAGATTTGGGTGATGTATGACCGCTCGCTTCTTTTTCGGTGTCAGTATGTATTTCAAAATCACCAAAATCAGCACCAAAATCTTCGCAGTTTCCAATTGAACATAGTCGCTGAAATCCAGATAACCATTTCTCGACCCAGCTGCTCGCGCCGAGAGACGTCAAAAACCATAGGCGGGTATCGGCTCCCCCTACCACAACGCTTCCTCCGTCTCGGCCGTCCTGTGGCCAGGGCGGGGCTCCTCGCGCCACACAAGGACGCGCCGCCCCATGCCGCCCGTATAAAAGGCCCGCCGCCGCCTCGGCAGGCATCCAGTCGGAGTCCTCTGTCTGATCACAACATGAAGGCCTTTGTAAGTACTGCGGCGAGCGCGGGTAAATCGACTTTTAGTTGTAACTTGTAAGCACTAAATGCTTTCAGTAGCTACTAGCTAGAGTAATTAATTTCCTGCTATCATCCTGTCTCCCTAATTACCATCCATTTTTTGTGCATTTCTCGTCAGTCCCCCCCCAAAAAAAAAAACAATTGCTAAAATATTTAACGAATTTCAACAGCATCAAAAATCTGAAGCAACAAAGAGTGCTGTTACTGATCGACGTTTGCTTGGTTTGCAGGTGATTGCCGCACTAGCTGTGGTGGCATCTGCTGCCCCTGGCAACTATGCTGCTCTCAGGAGTGCGGCTCTCCCCATCGGTCTGGGCGCCATCGCTGCCCCGGCTGTCGAGCACAAGACCATCAAGGTCGAGAAGGTCGAAGGCGTGCCTGTGACCACCTACGCCGCGCCCGCCTACGGCTATGGCTACGCCGCGCCCGCCTACGGCTACGGCTACGCCGGCTTCGCCCCGGCGGCCGTGGCTGTCAAGGCTGCTGCTCCCGCTGAGGTCAAGACCATCAAGATCGACGAGGCTAAGCCCGTGGCTCTGAGCTACGCCGCCCCCGCCTACGGCTATGGCTACGCCGCCCCCGTCCACGGCTACGCCCCGGCTCCGGTTGCCGTCAAGGCTGTTGCCCCCGCCGAGGTGAAGACCATCAAGGTTGAGGATGTCAAGCCGGTGGCGTACGCGGCGGCGCCGGCCGTGGCCTACTCGGCGCCGACCGTGGTGCGTCAGGAGGTGGAGATCCCCGTCACCAAGACGGTGCACTACGCCGACGAGCAGGTCGTCACCGGACACACGACCAACATCATCAAGCCGGCCATCGCCGCCCCGGCCATCGCCGCGCCGCGCACCCTGGTCGGCAAGACCGTCACCAACCCGGCCACCGTCAGCGTGCGCAAGTACGCCGCCGAGGTCAAGACCGTCAACCCGGTGCCGAAGCCCTACGACGTGCACTACGACGTGCCCCAGCCGTACGCCGTGCCCACGCCCGTGCACACGGCTCCTGTTGAGGTGAGGAAGCGCGTGTACGCCGCGCCCGCCTACGCCGCCCCTGCCTACACCAGCGTGGTTGCCGCTCCCGCCGCCGTGGCCGTCAAGGCCGCCCCGGTCGAGGTCAAGGCCTGGTAAACTGACCTGACCTCTCGATTCTGACATCAGCTCGGACCGGCGGACGGTCGGCGCGGCTGGTCTCTGTTGGTGTGTGCTGAGATGTGCTGTGGTTTGTATGGTTTTGTGTGCTTGGCGTGCGTTCAGGTCAGCGATTGGCGCCCACTCATGTTGTGATCATCTCTTTCAATACATCCATTTCCCATCACAACACCGTGGTTTGGACCTTGGAGGGGTTCTGAGAGGCAATGATGATCATGTGTAGGTGGGGAGTAGAGGTGGCAAAATGTGGACCCGAGGACCGGGTCCAAAGAACCAGTCTGGACCCATATTGGTCCGGACCGGTTGCTGTAAATTTTCTGACGGGTGCAACCGGGTCCTACCATAAGCCATACATATTGCACACTACACATGATTGCAAAATATGAAATGAATGGAAAGAAAACATTTGCTCATGTATGTTTCTTTGCATACTAGCTCATGGCTGTACCGGTACCCAGTGGGAAAAGATGTCCGTGAAGTTAGCGTCAGCAACAGCAACGAATACAGCGTCGCATTCAGAATCGCTTCAAAAACTGCCATCAGGTCAATTGGGGGACGGGGAACACGAATATGACATTTATTTTGCCCTAGCTCCCTTCCTTCATCCCTTAATCATCCCTTAAAGGACGGGGCGCGTCAAAAGTGCCCCAAGGCTTCGTCTGATCGCCAAAATAATGGTCGCAATCGATTCCTCGGGTCAATATCTAACCTCAGTCGAAGGTTCCAGACCTGTGGCTCCTATCCCTCATCCCTTAATCGTCCCTTAAAGGACGGGGCGCGTCAAAAGTGCCCCAAGGCTTCGTCTGATCGCCAAAATAATGGTCGCAATCGATTCCTCGGGTCAATATCTAACCTCAGTCGAAGGTTCCAGACCTGTGGCTCCTATCCCTCATCCCTTAATCGTCCCTTAAAGGACGGGGCGCGTCAAAAGTGCCCCAAGGCTTCGTCTGATCGCCAAAATAATGGTCGCAATCGATTCCTCGGGTCAATATCTAACCTCAGTCGAAGGTTCCAGACCTGTGGCTCCTATCCCTCATCCCTTAATCGTCCCTTAAAGGACGGGGCGCGTCAAAAGTGCCCCAAGGCTTCGTCTGATCGCCAAAATAATGGTCGCAATCGATTCCTCGGGTCAATATCTAACCTCAGTCGAAGGTTCCAGACCTGTGGCTCCTATCCCTCATCCCTTCCCTTAAAGGACGGGGCGCGTCAAAAATGCCCCAAGGCTTCGTCTGATCGCCAAAATAATGGTCGCAATCGATTCCTCGGGTCAATATCTAACCTCAGTCGAAGGTTCCAGACCTGTGGCTCCTATCCCTCATCCCTTAATCGTCCCTTAAAGGACGGGGCGCGTCAAAAGTGCCCCAAGGCTTCGTCTGATCGCCAAAATAATGGTCGCAATCGATTCCTCGGGTCAATATCTAACCTCAGTCGAAGGTTCCAGACCTGTGGCTCCTATCCCTCATCCCTTAATCGTCCCTTAAAGGACGGGGCGCGTCAAAAGTGCCCCAAGGCTTCGTCTGATCGCCAAAATAATGGTCGCAATCGATTCCTCGGGTCAATATCTAACCTCATTCGAAGGTTCCAGACCTGTGGCTCCTATCCCTCATCCCTTAATCGTCCCTTAAAGGACGGGGCGCGTCAAAAGTGCCCCAAGGCTTCGTCTGATCGCCAAAATAATGGTCGCAATCGATTCCTCGGGTCAATATCTAACCTCAGTCGAAGGTTCCAGACCTGTGGCTCCTATCCCTCATCCCTTAATCGTCCCTTAAAGGACGGGGCGCGTCAAAAGTGCCCCAAGGCTTCGTCTGATCGCCAAAATAATGGTCGCAATCGATTCCTCGGGTCAATATCTAACCTCAGTCGAAGGTTCCAGACCTGTGGCTCCTATCCCTCATCCCTTAATCGTCCCTTAAAGGACGGGGCGCGTCAAAAGTGCCCCAAGGCTTCGTCTGATCGCCAAAATAATGGTCGCAATCGATTCCTCGGGTCAATATCTAACCTCAGTCGAAGGTTCCAGACCTGTGGCTCCTATCCCTCATCCCTTAATCGTCCCTTAAAGGACGGGGCGCGTCAAAAGTGCCCCAAGGCTTCGTCTGATCGCCAAAATAATGGTCGCAATCGATTCCTCGGGTCAATATCTAACCTCAGTCGAAGGTTCCAGACCTGTGGCTCCTATCCCTCATCCCTTAATCGTCCCTTAAAGGACGGGGCGCGTCAAAAGTGCCCCAAGGCTTCGTCTGATCGCCAAAATAATGGTCGCAATCGATTCCTCGGGTCAATATCTAACCTCAGTCGAAGGTTCCAGACCTGTGGCTCCTATCCCTCATCCCTTAATCGTCCCTCGGGAACCTTGCAGTTCCAGACCTGTGGCTCCTATCCCTCATCCCTTAATCGTCCCTCGGGAACCTTCGACTGAGGTTAGATATTGACCCGAGGAATCGATTGCGACCATTATTTTGGCGATCAGACGAAGCCTTGGGGCACTTTTGACGCGCCCCGTCCTTTAAGGGACGATTAAGGGATGAGGGATAGGAGCCACAGGTCTGGAACCTTCGGCTGAGGTTAGATATTGACCCGAGGAATCGATTGCGACCATTATTTTGGCGATCAGACGAAGCCTTGGGGCACTTTTGACGCGCCCCGTCCTTTAAGGGATGATTAAGGGATGAGGGATAGGAGCCACAGGTCTGGAACCTTCGGCTGAGGTTAGATATTGACCCGAGGAATCGATTGCGACCATTATTTTGGCGATCAGACGAAGGCTTGGGGCACTTTTGACGCGCCCCGTCCTTTAAGGGACGATTAAGGGATGAAGGAAGGGAGCTAGGGCAAAATAAATGTCATATTCGTGTTCCCCGTCCCCCAATTGACCTGATGGCAGTTTTTGAAGCGATTCTGAATCCGACGCTGTATTCGTTGCTGTTGCTGACGCTAACTTCACGGACACTGGGAGAAGGCTGTTTTACATAATGCACCTAATGATACCTACAAACAGTTTGTATTGATTGACTTCTGAGGAACGGGTCCAACTGGTTCGGATTCTAACTTAGACCGGGTCCGACTGGTTCCAGAAATGTTCAGTCGGGTCTGGTTCGAGTCTGGTTCCCAAAATGTTCACCTTTTGCCACCTCTAGTGGGGAGTGTGAATGCCATATGCGGAACTTAAGGGACTACACTCGTAAAATTAACTGGATTAAAAAAAAAAACAGGAAACGCAATGCATAAATTAAGATAAGCCTTTGTCGTTTCCATGGCTTTTCAGAATCCTTAGCCCGGGCTCCGTAGGGGTTTTCCAGGACTCTGCATTCTGTAGGGGTCCGTTTCGACGCCCCACTAATATATTGGAAACTTACCAACCCCCTTTTTTCAAATTTCAAACGCCATTTTGAAATCCTGTAACAAGTCACAAGCTCCTATATAGGAGTTTTTACCACAAAAGCGTTAAAGGAGGCGACAAAAAACATATCAAGCACTTCTTCCCCGCGCAGTGGAACTTACATGCCAGGTTAGGTGGGAATAAGACAGCTTTCACTCCTCGCAAGAAAAGCGGGGTGGTATGTGGCTGACTACAGGATGATGATTGATGTTTCACTTTAAGCAATCATTTGCCTGGGAGTTGGGATGGTAGGCTGTGCCGCATCACACGGACTGAGTCACACAGGTGAATGCTGTGACCCAACCCTCACCATAGACAAATTATGGTGTGATATGCGGCACAGTCCGGCGTTCCAGTTCACTGATGTACGTTGCAAGAGGTGGAACATCGTTCTGTAGTCAACTGTACATTGCCTTACAAATGGTGCGCATACTCGTAAACGAAACTTCAAACATAAAAAGGTAGGATACTCCAAAGATATATACCGATGAAAAAGCTCTTACATATCACAAAGTCGGTGGGGTTCTCCGTTTTTTAGTACGAGTATTTGTGCCCAACAGAACAGCATAAATCACTTTTTGTTAATTTTACCAGACACTTCAGTGTCACACAATTGCGGCAACACTAAGAACTTTGCCTACTTGTTAAGAAAATCATACGCCAATCGATTCAGGCGGTGTGCCAAACAGATTATTGTGTACCTATTCGGTCACTGCATGTTCCCTCTAAATTAGTGAATTACATAGGTAATCCATTTAGGGAAAGCTTGATACATTCAAAGCTGAAAGACAAAAACAAATTGACAATAGCGGAGGTTGGGGAACGCTTTTGAAGCAATATCAGATGGACAGACTCACTGCGTTAATTAACCCTCGCCGGCCGAGGGGGGGGGGGCGCGGGTGCCGCCCCCCCCCCATAGGGTTTTTTCGCGATAGCTCCGAACACGCTGGCGATAGAGAGCTGAAACTTGGCATACCTGACCTTTGATCCAAGCCGAATCTTTTGACTTCAACCGCATTTTTGGGTCAGGTCAGGTCACTGACCTATGACGTCATAAGTGAACCTCTGCACGGTCTTCAGATGTCGCAACTTCGCAACGCCCTCACTGCCAGAGGAGATGTCACAGGGAAATGAAACTTGCAGGATCTAGTATCCATTATGAGTCCCACAACTTGTATATCTCGGATTTTTCCTAAAGGTCATATGAGGTCAGGTCATTTTCGTGACCTCACCATTATAAGTCAATGGGGAAAAATTCAAACTGCTATTCTGGCGCCGGGAACGATCTCCAACTCTCTCAAGCACACAGAATCGTGATTTGATGCACTCCTTGCAAGGTTAGATGCGTCACTTTTGCAATTTTGACCTTGCGTGACGTCATTTATGACGTCATCAAGGTCATATTAGTTTTTCGTCAATGACTCTTGATCAAATTGAGCTAGCGAGTCGGAAAAGCCACCAATGGACTCAGGAAGGCCTGCCGAATCGAATGATATGCGACATGACCTCTTTCGACCAACTTCGTGACCTGGGGGTGCTGACCTAACCTTGACCTGAGGTCAACACCCCAAGTTGACCTGACCCGGACAAAAATATATCATTCGACGCGCCTGAGCGAGGCGAACACGATGCTGCCAAAATCGGCGCTCTGCGGCCATTTTTTGCGAAGTTATTCACCAAAAACTGAACCGTACCTTGGGGCACTTGACCTGACCTCAGAGGTCACCGGTTGACCTAGGACCTTAAAATCGGGTACCGATCTCTGCGTCTCGTAACGGTGCACACGCTCGTTT